GGTTAAGGCTGCTGGACTCCCACATGGCTGACCATGGTTCGAGTCCTGGACCTGGCAGCTTGCTTTCTCACTTTCCCTCTCTCTCTCTCTGTTCTTCTCTGGTCAAATTTAAAAATGGATGAATAAATAAAGTTAAATAAAAAATAATTCTTTAAAAAAATATCACTTGAGGGGGTGAGCAGGTAGCATGGCGGTTAAGGCACTGGACATTCCCACATGGCCAACCACAGTTTGAGTCCTGGACCTGGTGGCTTGCTTTATCACTTTCCTTCTCTCTCTCTCTGGTCAAAATAAAATAAATGAATAAATGAAATTAAATAAGGAATTCTTTAAAAGAAAAAAGAAAATTACTTGAGGCAGTTTAAAAATGTAGATTCTCATGTTGCACCCCAAGAGATCTCTTTTCTTTTTAAGAATTATTTATTTAATTTTATCATTATTATTATTATTACTAACTTGACCAGAGAGCGAGGGGAAGTAAGAAAGCAAGCTACCAGGTCTGGGACTTGAACTGCTATCAGTCATACAGGAGTTCAGCACCTTAACCAGCATGCCACTTGCCAGCCCCTCACCCCAAGAAATCTTAATTCGTTAACCTTGTGTACATTTCAGGAGCCTACATACTTTGCATAAGCAGCCCACATTACTCTGACAGCTAAAATGCATGCCATGTACTGTGCAACACTGCCCTATGTGTTAAGTGTCTTCCAGCATCGTGAATTTTTTTTTAGATTTATTTAATTTTATTTATTCATTTATTCATTTAATTTTTATTTTACCAGAGAGAGACACACAAGGGTGTGGGGAATAAGAAAGCAAGTCATCAAATCCGGGATTCGAACTGTGGTCAGACATGTGGGAGTGTCCAGTACCTTAACCACCACGCCACCTGCTGGCCCCTAGTATAGTGGATTTGACCCTGCTACCTTTCACTACGAACCTGAGGGCCTTGAGAATTTATCAAATGTGTCCTTATACACTGTACATACACAATTTGTGCATACGTGGCATGTGTGCATTTTTCTAGAGGTATGGCCACAGCTTTCATCACCTCCTGAAGATTTGTAAAAAGGTTAGAAAGCGCTCTACTCTCTCTTCCTAAACTGCTACTGATGCAGAAGTCCGACTGCTTTTTCCTGTTTCTAAAATCCCTTCCGGAGGGCCGGAGGTGAGCTACGCCCATTTCTGCACGTTTGAACACAAAAACCTTCCCACATCCTATCCCTGACAAGGTACCCTGTAATGGCTGAGTCACGCCCACTACTTTGACTCTTCCAACATCCTGTCCTTGGGACAGTGTCTTGTGACTTTATCTCCTCTTGTGACAAGCACCGCTCCCCCACAGGTCCCACCTATCTGTCTTGTGACTTTATCTCCTCTTGTGACAAGCCCCTTTATCTTTGTGACAAGCACCGCTCCCACACAGGTCCCACCTATTTGGGCCCGACCAATGGAAAGCTCTTCACTAAGTTCTAAACTTTGTCTTTCACTCTCAAAATCACATAAAAGGAACCCCCTTATACCTGATTCCCAGGGAGAAGCATGTTTTGCCTTGTCTCGGGTCCCGGGACCTAAGTCACTCAAATTCGTGCTTAAAAATAAACCACACTAATTAATTATTTTGCAGAGTTAGTTCTGTAGACACTACTCACACCCCACGACCTGTAATTATATACCGCTAGCCCAGCATTCTCTCCAGCGCTGTCCACTGCATTTGCCTCTGGATACCCCACAAGCACCTCCAACTCAACCTGTCAAAGTTAGACAGCCGCCCCCCGCTCAGTGTGCTCCTACCTTATTCATTCCACCAACCACCCACCCTCACCTGGGAAATCTGAAAGCAATTCTGGACTTGCCCTTCCCATCTCCCCATCTCTCCTCCTCTCATCCTCCGTCCCTGCTATACTCCCCTAAGGCCTTCACCTCAAGGTGCTCAGCGGCAGCACCTTCCTAATTGACACGCCTGCCTCATCCCCGCCTCCAGCACACCCAGTACACCATCCCTGGACACTGCACCGATGGGCGGCCCCTGTCGCAACCTGGTGTGTACTTGCACTCCCAGCGCTGTTCGCTTGAACCGTGCCCCGTGACTCAGTTTCCCCCAAAGCCTTGGTCTCCCCCGACCGCCTGACGATCCTTTAGCAGGGTCTGTAGCAGTCTACGCGGCCCCACGGCGCCTGGCGCAGAGCCTGCCCCAGAAGGCCAAGCTTGCGGGACGGCGGGAGGGCCGGGGGCTCGGGGCTGCCGCGACCGCCGCGCGCGCCGACCCTGGGCGGAGAGACCGGGCCCCGAGGCGGGATTGGAGCGGGCGGCAGGGGCACCCCCGGGGACGCGGCGCCGGAGGGCGGCCCCGCCCAGCTAGGGTCGTCACCCCGCCCCGCGGTTGCCACGGTTACCCGACTCTCCCCGCAGGGGATCCGCTTCGGGCCCCAGTTCCCGCCGCCTCTTCAGTCCAAAGTTCTCCGGGACCAGGCGATGCCTCTTCCGTCTCATAGCTCGGGCCTTACGGCACCTGGGCCAGGCAGGGGCTAAGGAAGAGAAAGCGACAGCCCGGGCTTCCGGCGCAGAACGCTGACGTCACTCCGGGGCGTGCCTCCCTGGAGAGCAGGGTCCAGCGGGTCACGACGTGGTGACTAGAGAGACAGCGTGTCATCTCCCAGATGCGACC